GGGGGGATAGGGAAAGAGATGTGGTGTAAACTGAAAAAAATAAAGGCAGAAAAGGGTAACATGTTAACAGAAACAAAAAACACGAATGAGATGCTAGTTCCTCCAGAACGTCATAAAACACTTTTAAACCTATATATGACTTATTGTTCTTCGGGGAAAAAAGAGGCATAAAAGAAGTAGCTCCTCCCACTTTCTTTGGTCATTATTGAGTTTGGGTAGAAAGACAAACAACAAAACATTCATTTAGTGCAGGAAAAGGGCAAGAAAGAGAGACAGAACGGAAGAAAAGAAATAATATACTCCATTATGTTACCCTCCAACCACATCCTCACTGGTTCAGTTTTGAATTTGAGTGTAAAGATGCACGACATGAACAATAAAACAACCACTCAAGTGCAAGGAAAAGGAAGAAAGAGAGACAGAGAAAAGATAAAGAAGTAGTAGCCCTAGTGTCCTTTCCAACCACCCACTCACCTGGGTCAGTTTAGAGTTTTTGAGTTTGAGTAAAAAAGAAGCCCATGAACAATAAAACAACCATTTGAGTACAAATGAAAAGCAAGAAGAGAGACAGAGAAAAATTAAAGAAGTAGTAGCTCCCAGTGTCCCCCTCCAACCGCCCACTCACTTGAGTTTGGGTTTAATAGAGAGAAGCACATGATCACGAATGCCGCAATTTCTTACAAATAAAAACGACAAGAGATACAAAGTGAAAGAAAAAAGTAGAAGCTCCCTGTGTCACCCTCCGACCGCCCACTCACCTTGGTCAGATTTGAGTTCGAGTTGGAGTAGAGAGAAGCATATGAACAAGAAGACAATCATTTCAGTGCAAGGAAACAGTAAGGAAGAGAGACAGAGAAAAATTAAAAATGTAGTTGCCCCCACTGTCCCCCGCAAACCATCCGCTCACCTGGGTTAATTTTGAGTTTGGGTTTGAGTAGACACAGGCATTTGAACAAGATTACAACCAATGGGTGTAAGGAAAAGGCAAGAAAGAAAAGAAACAGTAGCCCACAGTGTCACCCTCCAACCGCCCACTCACCTGGGTCATGGAATGGAACAAGGACGTAGTTGTACAACGGCTTCTCCCGCCTGGTCAGCGCGTCTTGCAGGATCTCCGCGGCGCCCTTAATCACCTGCACCAGGTCGTCGTACATGGATCCTGTAATGTCAAACACAAACGCCAAGGACGCTCCTAACGGGTTGTCCGGGTCGGGGACCTGCTGGTCCTGTTGTGACGTCACCGGGGTCACCAAACACATGAAGGCTAGAGTCAAACACAGACAGGCCAGCCTGCTGCTGTCTAGCCACGTCATAGCGCGGGCTGGACGAGAGTTTGATCGAACATGACGCGAGTGGGATTCCATACTCGGGCTGCTGTAAGGAAGACGTTTTTCGGGAAATTCCGTATCGCAGCTGAGGTGACGTTCTGACGTCGAGAGACGAGAGTTATCGTCTCTTCGTGACGTCATGATGGTCCTCGAAGTTCCAATTTGACAAAAGGAACAATAATTCTGCGAGATTGTGAAGAATGAAATACGTTGTGGACTCCTTGGAAATCAAGCCGAGACCTACAGAAGGTGTGGATCTCTTAAGTGAAGACAAACGTCGTTAAGGTCGTGGTGGAAGCATTGTTCCAGGGGGTTCCAGAAATGCTCCGAGGTGAAAAGACAGCAGTACCACAAGTTTTGGTCACTTGTATGTGTGTGAGAATTGTCTAGGTGCGCCAACGGTCTGTCTCACGTTCACTGCGTTATCGGGGCATTCATCTGAGAGGATAAAAGTATAAAGAATTAAATCAGGGTAAACTATATCAAGATATTGGACACCAACTGAAAGTATAGATTGTGAAGCTCATAGAGCTTGCTGTTGAGTGGGGATTTGCGCCATACAAATGCTATCTATTATTGTTATTATTATTATTATTATTATTATTATTATTATTATTATTATTATTATTATTATAAAAAGAAAACTAGGAAGACCAACTAGGAAGACCAATTTTAAGCTATAGAGGCACACTAAGGGATGAGGCAATCACTCTGGGATTAGATTTGCCGAAATTGGAGGACGTGGCCAGGGACAGGCAAGCGTGGCGTCGACTGCTCTCAGACTTATTAACCTGACGGTACAGGGAGAGATTAAGTAAGTTAGTAAGTAAGTACGTAAGTAAGTAAGTACGTAAGTATGTAAGTTAGTAAGTAAGTAAGTAAGTAAGTAAGTAAGTAAGTAAGTAAGTAAGTAAGTAAGTATGTAAGTAAGTAAGTTAGTAAGTAAAGAAGTAAGTAAATAAGTAAGTAAACAATAATTTCCACCTGTATTTTGTTTTATTTTTGGCAAGTGTTTTACGGCGCTCACAACTGCATAGGGCCATATGAGCACACGTTGCAGCCTTCTGATTGGAGATTGTGTTCCTTTCAAACTTTTTGTTTTTCCTTTATTTTTTCTTCTTCAAGTGCCAGATCAAAAGAACATCTGCTGTGGTCATGGTTCGCATCGTCATTTTACTCTGCTCGGATGCACTAAAAACGTATACTATTCCGGTCTTTTCCGGTCACCAATCTGCTCAAGTTCTTTAAGCGTAAAGGGATTTTGTGTCTACCTCTGCCTCTTTTACCTTCTGTTTTTCCAGTGAAACCAAATCTACGGACTAAGTCAAATGGAAATATAATTATGGAAGGAGGCTGCTTAAACCTTACCTTCCAGGGCTAACCTGGATTGCGTTTGATTTTACATCCAGTCAAAAAGACACACTAGGTAAATTAATGTATTCCTCATAGAATTCACACTATACAAGACACAGCGTATAAATGCTACATAAGAGGTGTAGATGATGTGAATATATCGTTGGCTACAATATCAATGCCTGTGTCATTTGGTTTTCACAAGTCTAGCAGTGCACCTGTCAGGAAAAAGAACATAATATAAACACAACATGATTTTTAAAAGTATAGGATGTTCATATAAAATCTTTTCTCATGGATTAAACATTGTAAACGGAACTTTTTCATAGGAAATCTTCGTATCAGGGCATCATCAACAACAAGTTAGAGCAAAAACCTGACCCGTTTGCTTCGTGAGTCTATTAAACATTTCGCTATCATCCTTAATTAAAAACATAAATTTTGCTTCTCTGTAGATCGATCATTCAGACACAAAAGTTATAACCAAGTCAGACTCTTTGCTAATGTTTATGATACAGACAATTGCTTTAAAACACTTCCATCTACGTATCCCCCCTTCCCTATGTTCACTTTTCTTTTCTAGACTTGGTCAGGTAATAAAGAAAAATCCCAATATCGCAATGTTTCAGCCTTGCAGACGATAAAGAGAAAAGCTAACAGATTACTTCAACCATATGAACGTTAAGAAGACACAGGAAAACCAACAACGTACAGAAACGAAGTAAGTGCAAAAGAGTTCTGTTCTTACTGAGATCCAGAAGCCCCGAGTTCCTTCCCGACCGGCAAAACAATAATTTCCAGGGCATTAGCAACACTCATCAATAAGAAACCCGGTCTCTCTCTGTCAAACGGGAAGTAGGCAGCATCGGTTAAACGAGCTTGCTTATCACTCGCACATTCCTTGAGGTCAGAATTTTCACAGCTCTCTGCCCCTTCTACGCCTATTCCACCCCCAACCCACCTCTCTCAACCCCTCTCCCGTATTTCCCGCCCCTTGAATTTCGCAGTTGTCTGCCTCTTCTCCATCACTTCTCCATCACTTCCCCCTCCCTCATAATCCACACAGTAGCCTACCCAAATCTCTTCTCCTCTTTTCACTCATACATAATGAAAGTGAACGTAAAATCCTTTTTTTATCTTTCAGTTCCCTCTTCCGGACGAACAAACTAACATTTAAAAAATAATTTAAAACTCGAGACGGAAAACTGTTTCTTTTCTTTTTTTGGTCGTTTCTATTTAGGCAACATGCGCTCATAAAAGTCAGTCCCATCCTCTGAGAAAGGAACTCAACAGCAATGAGCCGGTTTTTTGTATCGGCCCATCAAGGGTAAGTGCACTTGGAGCGTTGTCTACTCCGGGAAAGTCTTAACAATTTAGGATGTGAGCGAGTAAAGGGATTTTAGTGCACTGTCAAAACGAGAGGGTTCTTTACGATCTTCTACCGAATTCACCGCTTTATCGTTGGTTCACCATATGTGGCCTTGGGGGAGACTGTAACGACATTCTTTGGAGAAAATGAAATCGAACAAGGCAGTTCTGAAAGATGCCAGAGTGGGACGGTCACTAATATATACACCTGATTAAGAGGAAACACATTATGCAGTTCCTATAGAACGATTAAGTCGACATACAGGCCTTCAACGTATTACTTTCACTCACAAAATCGACGGAAAAGAGGCAGAAATATACATAGAATAATTACCTTAGAGAACTTGAACAGATGGGTGAAAGGAAAAGATCACAAAAAGAGGATACTGTAGATATCTCATTTCGAACATCCAAACAGAACATTGAGAGGCTAAACATGGTCCCATGATCTTGCACTGGAAGAGGTAGCAGAACCTTTTTTGCAGACGCTTGCTGCAGTATTATTAAAGTAGTTGTTGGTAGCTATTTATTGTGTACTCTTTTAGTAGAGCAAACAAGCACAATTTTATGGCCCTTCTTCAAGTACTGTAAGTCGAAACATAAATGCATATAGCAGAAATACGATGAAACTCTTTCAAAGTCATATTCTATTGACCACCTTTGTATCGATGGCAACACAGAAGTCTAATGTTAAAAAAAAGGCTGATATAATAAAATAAAAGTATGACTTGTATCGACAAAAGTCAAGCGCTGTGAAAATGTTAACCGTGTGTCTGTTACATAGGTTCTGTTTAATCATCTAGGAAAGAAGATACTGTCTATTAACTCAAACACCCTGAACAGAATAACAGAAGAAGAATCCAGTGGAGATCATAATAACTACGTTTTATTCTTTAGTTTACCATGGTGGGCGAGAGAGAGAGAGAGAGAGAGAGAGAGAGAGAGAGAGAGAGAGAGAGAGAGAGAGAGAGAGAGAGAGAGAATGGGGAAAGAAGGAGAGGGGGTGGACAAAGAGAAGAGGTGGGTTAAAGGAAAAAGAGGCGCATCAGAATGTCAAAGGACAAAGGAAGCAATGCTGAGGTCTCTTCAAAACAATCGGTTACACGATTCTCTTTGGGCAAGGTAGATATAAAAAAGGATATATATAATTCCAAATACAAATAGGGGCAAGACATGAAATGAATGACTGGAGGAAAAGGGGGAATGGGAAAAGTTGGAATATGTATTTCCGAGGTATACTTTGAGTTATTGGGCTTAATATAGTCACAGAGTGTTGGCAAGAGTTATTTGGTTCAATGCCAGTCGAATATTATTGATAAAGGCCATCGTTTCATACATTAAGTATTGGATTTCCCTTCAGAATCATATCAAAATCGTCTCACATTTCTTAATGTCAAATGTGCTTGCCCTTATAACGAACGTTTCCTTTACAACGAGCGTTTGAGTGGTGATTTATTCTCATGTGTTTTGAAACAAGAAGTTTACAAAATATACGTGATGGGAAAAACTGTTAGCAGACAAAGACGCTGGGTTACAACAAGACAAAAAATACGTTTACGTTCTGAGGCGAAAGCGTAGTTTAAGATCGAGGAAGCAGCCATTACGCAAAGCAAAACCATTAGCAAGAAAATTAACTCACTGAGGATGCAGAGACCGGAACCAGAAATACCGGAACACAAATATAGTGCAGCGAGCAAACATTCGCTTGCGTCCCCTGAGTGCCGAGACGAGGTTGCTCATCAGAAGGCAATCGTCTAACAAAAACAACCGGCGCCCTCTAACGGCAATAGCCAACAGCTGTGTCGATCAGGCCCGCGCCACTTTCGCAGTGCGCATGTCAAAAATGAGAGCTAATGAACTGCTTTGAAGGAAGGAAATTTAAGCGCTGTGTTAAGTAGCAACACCGCCGAGAGACCTATAATAGACAGCCTCTGAAGCAGACTTGAAACGGTGGAACCGGAAAAGGGTAACTTTTTTTTTTTTTGACTAACCATTTTTTTGCTCATATAACTGTACACTTCCCTTTGGAGAAAAACTGTTACTTTAAAATAGCAGGATATTTGTAAATCTCAGTTAGTTTTGTTGAGTTTATGTTGGGTAGACGGAAAAGGGGGTGAGGGGTAGAACGGGGTAGGTATACAATTGGCTTCATGGATTTCGAACGACTTATTACTGTTGCACATTCACTTTCCAGTCAAGGTTTTTGAAAGAAAGTCAAAACTGTTTTGGGAAGGAATAATTAGTTGGATTGGTTAACAGCTATGAGTGGAAAGAGGGTATAACGTAGTACCCTATGTTCACTCAAAAGGCGAGTATCGCAAAAAAAAAAAGTGGGGGGGGGGAGAGAAAGGAAAAAACATCTTCTGTCTCGTTTCACACTCCTGCACCTTATTCTTTTTGTTTCTTTTTTAAAAGTCAAGTCATGGGTATACCTGGCTCCGTCCTAATAGGCAAATAAGTTCCAGATAATGGCTTCAAAGGCCTACTTTTGACTTTTGAAACTTTTTCGACATTGGACCTCTGCCTTCAGAAATAAAAAATACACCTGAACTAATTTGACGTTTTATCTTCTTTGAAATCAAATCTCTTGAGTTGAGCTTGAAAAATGAAGAGCAGGTCTGCAAGATTCTTTTAAATACATCTCGACTAAGTCCAATAAGAAAAGACAGAGACAGAACTCCCAGTCAATCATGACGATATGCGTATGTCTCAAGTGC